TAATCACATATTTTATCAGTATTTTTATTTCATTGTGTGTTTTACAATTGGTGTTTCTTGTTTGTAGCATGGTTATTCAAGAGTTTTATATAACAATTTGCAGAAAATACATGGATAGTACATGACTTTATTTCTAATTTTTTGGTAGCAGTAACCAAATAATTATTCCCATTGACTCTTGAAGCTGAAACTTAATTTGCAACAGTTAATTTTTGTATTTTGTTATTGAAAGAATAATGGATTTTCTTAAAATAACAGTTTTTCTCCCATTTTAGTGTTATGACTTGCATCTCTGCACACGTTATCACTTTGTCATTCCTAAATGGTGTATTTTGTTCATATATATGAAAGTAACTGTAGCGTTTGCTGATTAGAGCTAAAATTAGGTTAATCGCTTAATCTTATAGAAGACTTGGACAGTTGTTGGAATAATCAAACATGATAACAATCAAAAAATGTTAATTTCAATAATTTTACACGACACTGATTGTGTAATTTATTATATATATAGAATTAATTGCATGGTTCTAATGTTGATATAAGTAAACCATTATTTCCATATTTATAAATATATTGTTATATATTTTAAAAACTAATGTTTTTCTGAAATTCAGGTTTAAGAAAATATTTAGCTTACTGAAAACATTACGTTTTGTATCATAACTTACACGAGCTTTAAAAACTATTTTTCCAGCCATTGAAAAATTGTAAGCACGGTAACAAAGTGTTAAGACGTGCTGATATTACCATGATTTATGATTATTTGATCTCATTTACTAGTTTATGTATTGGTTGCTGTATGATTTCCTCAATAAAAAATAAATGCATGTATAAATGTGATTTTCTTAACTAATCTTGTGTGTCACACTTCATCGAAAGCTTTTTTAAACTTAAGCATACCAATTTTATGTATTTCCCATCGTCCAGATAATGAGTAACATTCCCCCAAAAAATACAACTTGGAAATATGAGTATTTGAAATAATTGTTTTGTTCACTAACAAAAAAAAAAATATATATATTCAATTAATGGGATTAGCCTTAAAATTTAAATTGAGTAGCGTTAAGCAGGTTTTTTTTTTGTTGTTTCAAAGTTACTGCATGTTCTTAATATGATTTTTGATTTATTTCATATTTAGCAAGGAAACAAGTTAAATAATGACATATTTAGTTCTGATTAGCTTTTCCTAACTCTCCATGTAGAACATGTATCCAACTTGCTAAGCTTAAAGACAACCCTTATAACAACTAATGTTGTATTCCACATAACTGTGTAATGGAAGTTGTGTGCTGTGTAATCATCCTTATAACAACTAAAGTTGTATTCCACATAACTGTGTAATGGAAGTTGTGTGCTGTGTAATCATCCTTATAACAACTGAAGTTGTATTCCACATAACTGTGTAATGGAAGTTGTGTGCTGTGTAATCATCCTTATAACAACTAAAGTTGTATTCCACATAACTGTGTAATGGAAGTTGTGTGCTGTGTAATTATCCTTATAACAACTAATGTTGTATTCCACATAACTGTGTAATGGAAGTTGTGTGCTGTGTAATCATCCTTATAACAACTAATGTTGTATTCCACATAACTGTGTAATGGAAGTTGTGTGCTGTGTAATCATCCTTATAACAACTAATGTTGTATTCCACATAACTGTGTAATGGTAGTTGTGTGCTGTGTTCAGAAGATTTTTCCGTTGATAACTTCTTGGTATGTGACATCTGTAACCTTAAGTTTTTTTTGCTTTAAGTGATAAAATATCATTTTTACAGATAAAGAAATAAGATAAACAAGACAAGTAAATAAGGACCAGCATAGAAGGTATCGTTCAAGATGGTTAGTAAAGAGAGTGAGGCATGGAATAGTTGCTCACAAGTTTGGGTGAGTAAAATTTAGTTAAGAAACAATGGTTGAAAGAATGACATATTAACAGGAGTGTTAGGATATGTGGATGCAGGTGTATTGTTGTATCTCAAAATGTACTTTCTGTAGGTCACGTTATAGAACAACATGACAGAATATAAGACCTCTAGATAGTCTGTTTAATATCAGTAATCTTGTTATAATATCTATTATAGAAACATGTAAAACTTGTAGTTAAAATCCCATAAGAACAAAAAGCAAGTTAATAGAATATCAATAGGGTGATCAGTGTAAACTTTATCCACTTAAACTGAAGGTAACAAAATGGTGCCTAGGAGGCTCAGGCTGCAAAAAACCCTGAAAAACATGACTAACGATGAAGATTTTCCTCTCAGTTATTTACAAAAACAAAATTCAGAATTTACCAAGCAGTTTTATGTACTATGGTCAGAATGATAATTTTGAAATTTACACAAAATGTTACTGTTGTTAATACATCATGAAGATTTACAGCATCCTGACCTATCGGTTACTATATTCTAAATTTGGTTTATAGAGATGAGACAAGGCTGGATAGAAACTTATTTTATAGTCTACATTGTGTTACTATATCAAACACAAGGAGACCCAATTTAAAACCTCCATTATCTGTGTACAGTATGGTAAGCCCAAAATGTCTCTAAGATGTCTCTGTTAACCCTGAAAGTCAACTTCAACAGAACTGGTCAGAAAGGGTGTGAATGGGACATTGAAGATGCTATATGTATACAATATAGTGTTGTATTAACCTTTAGTTTTCAAAGCAATAAAAGTCACTAGAGCTAATAGATTACTTTATTATTTCAGATATACTTTAAAAATACCAAAATTTCTATATCAATATCCACTTTTTTAATATGTATATTATTACCCTCTTTGGTTTCAGTTTAATATGTATATTATTACTCTCTTTGGTTTCAGTTTAATATGTATATCAATACTCTTTGGTTTCAGTTTAATATGTATATCATTACTCTCTTTGGTTTCAGTTTAATATGTATATCG